CATATTTACTGAAGTGGACACACCGATACCCACCAGAAGGTCACGGGAGAGATTGGATGAGGGTCTGAATGTCAGGGCTGCCCCCAGCTGGTGCACAGTAGGCACTCAATAAAGATGGGCTCCCTCCTCCTGCCTTTCTCAGTAACTCAGTAAAGGTCACTGAGCATCTACTCCATGCCAGGCACTTTCTCCAACCCAGGGACACATCGGTCAAATGAACAGACACATCCAGCCCCATCCATGCTGGAAGCCGGTGCCAGCAGAGAAGGGCAGGCCGGTGCCTGTGCCACCGGGATCTCACCTGGTCACAAGGGGCTGACCAAGATGCTGCACCAGGCATCACATGTCCCCTGGTGAGCCTGTTTGGGGTGGAGCACGTGAACCCCTTCTGGGGCAGCCACCACGGCCGCTGGTATTCACACCCCAGCCTGTTTCCCAGTGGCCTGGATTGCTGCAGACAGGGGGGTTAGACCCTGGCAGCCACATGTCCTTGTGGGCTGGCAGGGTCGGAAAGAGGCCTGCGCCCTCCTGGTTGGGCCTCACAGCAGGAGTGGGTGTCGTCCTGGTTGGGAGTTGGGGAAGCCAAGGACAGAAAGAGACAGGAATGTGCCCAAGTCCCCAGTGGCAGTCGAGCCCCGCCCTCCCCAGGCTCCTGGACTTTTCCTGCACCAGGTGGCCTAGACCGTGCTTGGGAAGGGGCTTCATGTCCCTTCTGTGTGCACGGCACACCCCCATGATTTCCACCAGCACTGAGCCAGGTCAGAGCTACTCACGCAGGAGGTGCTGTCTGGGGAGGCCCCTCTTAGTCACACCGCGGCCCTGGGGCCTGAGGCTTCATGTCCCTTCTGTGTGCACGGCACACCCCCATGATTTCCACCAGCACTGAGCCAGGTCAGAGCTATTCACGCAGGAGGTGCTGTCTGGGGAGGCCCCTCTTAGTCACACCGCGGCCCTGGGGCCTGAGCCCTCCAGGATCCTGAGCCCTCTGATTTGAGGACCGTACACCAGCAGCGAACGGGGTCCTCGTGGTGTGGACCACTTGTGAGGATGGGGGTGGGGGCGGGGAGGGGGCCAGGGACAACCGGAAAATCGCTCACCTTGGGTCCTCGTTGGTGCAAACTTTCGAGCGATTTCCAAGCCCACACTTCAACCTCAGTGAGTCACCTCTGGTGGCCATGAATGGATGGTGGATACACACAGGGTCCACTGCCATGACTGGTGGCCGGGCCTGTAGCAGCCGGGGATATCGAGGGGACCCCTGGGTGTCCTTGACCACCATGCATGCCCCGTGGGGACGTTTCTGTTTTCTTTGTGATTATCTTCTTCCCTCTGAAAGGAAAATGCCTGAGTGATTCCAGTGAGGTCAAAGTTCTTCCGAGTTGCGCTCAGATGGAGGTTTAAACACACTTAGTTTGCACTCCTCACGGAGGTGAGGATCTATTTGAGGACCTGACCCTGTCCACTCACAGAGCCCTGTGGCCTGGCCAGCGCGAGGGCCTGGAGTCAGGACAGAGCTCGCTCCTCTGGGGCACTTGGCTGGGGGTGGAGGGGACCCAGCATCTCACGGTTTCTTCCCGCAGTGGGCGGACTGTTGTCAGGACGGGCACCACATTTTAAAACATCTTGTGTGTGTTTTTGCCGCACTGGTCCCATGACCCTGTTCCCAACTGTCGCCAGATGTTTCCCTGGGAGAGACCCCATCGCTCACGTAAACAGGGTAGCGAGCTTTCCCAGGGAGGCCAGCAGCAGGCAGCAGCTCCTGACCACCGTGGAGAGAAATCTCCATGGACTCGGAAGAATATATTTTGGTCTTTGCGTGCGGGTGAGCCGTGCACAGAAATAGATCTGGGTCTGTAACAGGAAAGACGGGCTCCACCGCACGTGGGCCATCGATGGCCTTCTCTCCTGACACAGGGGTGCCCCATGATGTCATCCCTGCGCCTGTGAGTCACAGCTGCCTCTGGGTCTGGGTGTCCTCCGCAGCTCCCCGGGGCTGGGGCCACAGCTTTAAGCTTCTCGGGCAAAGGAGCCCGTGCCTTAAGCGGGCGTGGCACTGACTGCTTGTGGTCAGGGAGAGGAGACCCTGAGCAGAAGCAGCAGCCCCTCGTCATTCTGAGCTTTTCTGCCAGCCAGGTCTGCACAGGGACTAACAGCACCAGAGGCTCCCATTCTGTGAAAAAGGCCTTGTTTTGTCCAGTCTTGCAGATGAGGAAATGGGAGCTCAGAGAGGTTAGACACTTGCTGGAGACCGCACAGGGGAAGAGCAGGATTCCAACCCAGGCCACCCAGTCCCATGCCTCTAGGCCACATGGCCTCACCCAGTGCCCACGCGCCCTGCCCCTCACAGGCAGCAGAAGGATCCAGGCTCTTCTCACCTGAGCACTGGGGGCTGCCTCCTCTAGCCCGTGCTGAGGTGCATCGGTTCACACAGGGAGCCCAAGCCCGTGCCCGGTGTCCAGCCCGGGCCTCCAGGCTCCCCGTGGGGGTGCCCCACGCTGGCACGCCTCTGGGCCCTGGCCATCAGGTCTTTATGCCCGGAGTGCCTTAGCCCTGCTGTCTCCTTGAAGCAGCTCCAGGCCCAAGGCCCTGGGTCCACACTTCTGTGAAGCATCCCTGACCGCTTAAGTGGGCTCCTGCACAAAGCCGAAAGGGACTTGGGCCTGTGGCTTCGCGAAGACTGCGGAGGGCTGAAGGGCAGCCCCCAAGTCCATGTCCACCTGCGGCATGCAAATGCCGCCTTGTTTGGAAGAAGGGTCATTGCGGGTGGGATTAAGTTAAAGGTTTCTGGCTGAGATCATCCTGGATTTAGGGTCGGCTCTAAGTCCGACAAATGAAAACAGAGGGGGACTGGAGGCGGAGACACGCAGAGGGGAGAAGGCCAGGTTCCGATGGAGGCAGAGGCTGGGGGGATGCGGCCACAAGCCGAGGAGGGCCAGGAGCCCCAGAAGCTGGGGGAGACCAGGAAGGACCCTCCCCTAGAGCCTCTGGAGGAGCACGGCCCTGCCACCCCCTGACTTCGGACTTCTGGTCTCCATTACCCAGTCTGTGGTCGTTTGTTACAGCAGTCAGGGGAAAGTAATACAGCGCGTTAGCTCAGCGTCCTCAGCTGTGAAATGAACACAGCGGTGGGACCTGCCTGACAGGCCCACTGTGAGGTCTAAGTGAATCAGCACACACCGAGTGCACGGAGCAGGGACCGGCCCGCGGCACTCAGCAGCTCAGCAGGCGCGAGCCCCATCGGTGTTACCGTTACGCTGGCCTCAGCTCATTCATTCGATACACGCGTGTGTAGCACCCACAGGCTGCAGCCAAGGCCCTCGCCGGGCACATTCATGTGACCCACTTCAGATTTTGTTACTCAGCAGGCGCGAGCCCCATCGGCGTTACCGTTACCCTGGCCTCAGCTCATTCATTCGATACACGCGTGTGCAGCTCCCACAGGCTGCAGCCAAGGCCCTCGCCGGGCACATTCATGTGACCCACTTCAGATTTTGTTTTCTTAAACGTCACCCCCAAGTGACTTTGGCTCCGTTGCCTTTTGCCACCAGCCTCCAATGAACCCGCATGCTTGTGCCACACACTCAGCCTGTCATTGCCATGCAGGGCACAGAACCCAGGTCAGGCCCTGACTCTGAGCCTGGTCACTCTGCACCCCGAGCAGGTAGGCCAGGTTCCAGCTGGCTTTCTCCCTCCCATATCCTGGCTCCTTTTTGGCAAGAATGCCAGTCAGTTCCTTTAAGGCTCAGAATTGTGGGAAGGAGAGGTGGACGGGACCTCAGTCTAGGGGCCCCAGCCTGGCCTCCAAGCCCTGGGGGACAGAGGACTCCACTGCCCATAGGGGAGCTCTCCCTTAGAAAAGCATCACATTGCTTGGCTTTTTGTTGCAATTACACGGACACTACAGGGCAGCTGAGTTATCTCGGGTGATTGGAAGGTCACATGTTGGTGTTACAAGTGTCTGATGGGGAAATGCGCAGTCACTGCACACATGCTGTTCGCCTGATAAGGGACTCTCTTAAACGCAAAATCCAGGGGGGTAGAGAAAACTAGAGTCGTGGGGGCATGGCGGCGTCATCTGTGGTGGAGAGCCGGGGCTCAGCAGCACGGCCTGTGCCCGAGCACGGCTGCACCCTGCCAGCCTCTGCGTTCCGGTCTGTAAAGGGGGCAGTAGCTCTGCCGGCTCCATCCAGCTGGCTGTGCAGGTTGGTGGAGTCAGTTCTCATGAAGCCCCTAGCCTGTGCTGCCCCCATGAACTCATGACCCTCCACTGTTCATTACTGTCATTCAGGATCAGGGAGAAGTGACTCGTCCAAGCTCCAAGTGGTTTAGTGGGGGAGTCGGTCTTGACCCCCAGCACCGCCCTCGAGCTGCCCGCTCACAATAGGAAAAGGGGTGTGCAGACGCGGGGACCCAGCAGATCAAGCTGGGAAGGCACATCAGGGAGAAGTGACTCGTCCAAGCTCCAAGTGGTTTAGTGGGGGAGTCGGTCTTGACCCCCAGCACCGCCCTCGAGCTGCCCACTCACAATAGGAAAAGGGGTGTGCAGACGCGGGGACCCAGCAGATCAAGCTGGGAAGGCACAGGAGTGGATCTGACCCCACGGAGTGAAGATGCCCAAAGGGGCACATCTTCAGCCATTACGTCCTTGTATCTGCTCACAGACCAGAGGGCACCCAGGTCCTCTTCTCTGGCCCAGGCTGCTTTGGGGACCCTCAGCTGAAACCCCCTGAAAGCTTCCCAGGTGTTTTGGAGTCTCTGCTTCTCGGGACCCCCGTTTAGCATTCCTGGCTCCTAAAGCTTCCCGCGTGACCTGGGGGAGCCCTCTTTACCCCTGCTCTTCATTTCACCATCTGCAGGAAGCTGCTAGCAGCGCCCCGAAGTGTCATCAAGACTGAGTGAGGGGACCAGCTGCACGGTCAATTGTGGTTGCATCTGAAGGTAAAAAGGGTTTTCAGCTGGTCTCTGCCCACCCTGATGGAGAACTTTTCTTCTCTTTCTAGACTAAAATTCATGGCGTTGGGTTTGTAAAAATCCATGCCCCCTGGAATGTGCTGTGCAGAGAGGCTGAGTTTTTGAAACTGAAGATGCCGACGAAGAAGGTTGGTGGTGATATTTTTACTCCAAAATATATATCGCCATGTCTGAATGTCACACAGACACCCGGGGTACAGTGTTATTTCCTCAAAGCTCTGAATTGTTATGAAAAGCTGAGCAGGCTTCGGTGCCACCCCTGGGAGTGCAACCTGGCTCAGATGTGACAGAGCCTCCTGGGATCCCGTGTCCTGATGGTGGAGAATATGACCCAGCCCTGGTGATCTTTAGAGACCCCAGAGAAAATCCCGCCAGGAAACGGTGCAGGCAGAAGAGCCCACCTCCCAGCCCCCAGCCCCAGGAATTTACTGTAAATTCAAATACAATGAAACTTGGGGCTCTGGCTCCTTTTTGCTTATGGTGTCTCAGCTAATTTATGAGATTTCTTTTAATTACGTTTTGTAGCTTGCTAGGACTTTTCTTTTCAAACTCTGAAAACTTTATGGTCAAAAAGCAGTTTAACAGCATGTCCCCCGAAGCTTAGCTCAGCATCGGGGTTCACTGTTGCTTGTGGAGAGACGAAGTTGTGCTCGGGAGCAAGTCAGCCTTTGGCTTCTCGAATCCACTGAAATCATCTGAATTACCTGTTTTGAAACAGAAGTAAAGACTGGGGAAAGTTTTCTGGACCACATAATAGATGCACTTTAGGCTGTGCTCTCCTGAAACTGCGCTTTCAGGGTTGATCCAGAATCCAAGCCGGAGCTGGTGGGGGAGACACTGTGGCCCATCCTGGACGTGCCATCTCAGTGGGTGGGATAGTTCTCTGACCGTCCAAGAATCAATTCCCAGGGTCATGGCTCAGGAGACTGACGTGAATCCTTCCTGCCCCTGGTCTTGTCTGCAGATGTATCACATTAATGAGACCCGTGGCCTCCTAAAAAAAATCAACTCCGTGCTCCAGAAAATCACAGACCCCATCCAGCCCAGGGTGGCCGAGCACAGACCCCAGACCACGAAGAGACTCTCCTATCCCTTCTCCCGGGAGAAGCAGCACCTGTAAGTGGGGGCCCTACCCCGCACCCCGCAGGGCCCTGCTCTATTGGGTTTCACTCTCCAGCATGAGAAATGCATGTTGATTCGCCCTCCCCCAGAGAACAGTGAACTTCAGCTCCTGGACATTTGCTTGTAAGAGCTTTGTAGGTACTGAGCCCAGAAAAGGCCTTGGAGATGATTTCTAAGGTCACTGTTAATTGAACAATTAGGGGGGGGCACCGAGTCTTCTCCTGCTTGGTAACACTTAAGAAAAACCACATGGGCCTGCCCAATGAACTTCAGCTCCTGGACATTTGCTTGTAAGAGCTTTGTAGGTACTGAGCCCAGAAAAGGCCTTGGAGATGATTTCTAAGGTCACTGTTAACTGAACAATTAGGGGGGCACCGAGTCTTCTCCTGCTTGGTAACACTTAAGAAAAACCACATGGGCCTGCCCAAGTAAGGGTCCCCAAAGCAGTGACCTGGGCATCTCTTCCTCTCCTAGCTCTGTCCCTCTCGGGACTGTCCCACCTCCTGCAGCCTCAGCAGCCTTGAGCCCAAGTGAGCTCAGGAGGCAGGAACTGAACAGCATCCCCAGGCAGGAGTCCTGAAGCCCCAGGGACTCGCAGTCAGTGGGGGTTGCCTGGAAGTGCCACACCTTTTCTGGAACCTTCCCTCCTCCCCTGCTCCCAAGGGGCAGTGGTGCATAGCCACCTGGGTCAGCGGTGGCCGCAGGCCTCCATGGAACCTGCTGAGCAGAGCTGGGGTGTGGGCAGAGGTGGGAAAAGAAAGCTTGGGCTCTGGGAACCCAGAGGGACTTTGGAAGGCAAGCTCTGGGGGCAGGAAGGCTCCTGGACACAACCAGTCTTGTGGGGGTGGGAGAAGGGGCAGGGAGAAGGAGCAAGCGCCTGGCTCAGAACTGGGCGAGGCCAGGAGCTTCCCCTGCTGGACAGCCGCAGAGGAGCAGGACGCAGCCCCCAGCCCCACTCCCTCCACCAGCTCTAGAGCAGGCACTTTCTGGGCATTAGAGGGAAAAGCCCCCAGACCCCAGCCCCTCTTGTCCCTGCCCCCGGTGGGCAGCCCCCTCTTCCTGGCCAGTGCACAGCTCACTTCCATGCTCCATGGAGGTGGAGACCCCCCAGAGGACCCTCCCCGGCTCTACCTAAGTGCCTTGGGGAGCGGGTCAGGTATTTGAGCCTTAGGCAGTCTCTGTGCAGCCCCAGACATCAGGATCCAGACCATCTGGAGTTGCAGGGAAATTGCTTTCAAAAGTGGAACTGTCTGATGATAGAATGAGACTGTCCCTGTCCCCTGTAGTGTTGAAGCTGGTATTTTAAAGACTTCCTGCGAGGATGTCATTAAAAGGAGGTGGGATTTTCAGGGAGGAACGTCTGGCCATTCTTGCCTCCAGGGTCACTCCCCACCTGTGAAGGTCTCAGAGCAGGAGCAGGGACGATGAAGCAGATTGTTCCAGATGTCCAGGGACAATGGGTCCTACCTGGTGTTGGGGCAAAGTTACATCCATCTCATGGTCACCACTCATGGGGACGGTGTGATTTCCCAGCGCCCTGAAGCCCCGAGAACCGCAGACTCTGGTGAACTGTGTCCCCTTTCCTTCCCAATGTTTCAACAGATTTGACCTGTCTGATAAGGATTCCTTTTTCGACAGCAAAACCCGGAGCACAATAGTAAGTATCGAATCGCTTGCCAGCAGGGTGGCCCTGGAGAAGCGGATGGTAATTTCATTTCGGGGACACTCCTCCAGGTAGAAGCCAGCTCTAATTGTCTGTGACAGAGATAATTAGAATAATGAAACCCGGAGGGCAGCGGGGGTCCCCCAGGGACAGCCCTGGCTTGGAGGGGAGAATAAAAACCGAGCAGCAGGAAGAGAGGAGGAGAGGGATTCCAAACCCCCCCGAGTTATTTAAGCAGCGTTCCCGCATCGTCACGGTTCCAGGCACACGTTGTAGAGCCTCCTTGCCACTGGCTCTCAGTGGAGTGTGCACAGCCCAGCTGTCACGTCCCAGGCCCGGCGTTTCTGAGCAGGAGGATAGGGCAGTCAGGCAAAGGCGCATGGGTTTCGATGCACTTCCAGGCCTTTGAGACGAGCAAACTGAGGTTTGAAATCTGACCAGACCATCCTGCCCCATGCAAGGTGCTGGCTTACTGTTTATTCGTTAGCCGCCAGCTTGTCCACTAGCCAGGCTCAGGCTGTGCATGGCCCGGGACCCAATTTCTATCAAAACAAGAAATTAGCCTGGCAGCTGAGCCCTTGCTGCCACTCACTCTTTCCAGCCCAGAGCCCAGCTGGCCGGGTGGAGGCGGCCCGGCTGACCCGGAGCAGACCACTGGCCCTCACTGCCTCCATCCTGGACCAGCAGGCAGCCTGCAGTGGGCCCGTAGTGCAAGTCACATGGGAACAGGGGGCTGGAGCCGCTGCCAGACAGGCAGATCCAGGTCCCATCCGCCCTCTGTCCTTTCCCAGCACGTGATCTCAGGCGAGTCACCAAGACTGTGTTAAACAGCGAGGACCATTCTGGCTTGATCCTCAAAGGACAGCCGGGGGCCTCCATTGAGACAGTCACATGGGCAGGACACTAGGTACCAAGTCACAGTTGTGATTTTTTTATTGTTAGTGTTACGGGTCAATTTTAGCAGTCAGATCTCATGACAGTACACACGAGGAGGAGTTTGGCGATGGAGCTCAGCAGCCCCGGTAGAGCTCGGGGGCTGGCACGTGCCTATAAAGAGGTTGGCCACCTGGGAGAACCACCCAGGAATGGTTTCACCTTTTCCACACCATGATGATGTAGGAGAAAATCGGAATAGACAGCTGAGTAAACTGAGTCACTCGGCCATGTTTCCATGTGTATGTGCACCCCAACTTTTTACATTCTCTGGGGCTGCCAAAACACTCCCGGGAAGCCCAGGGCAGGGTACAAATTTGTAAGTTCACTCTTGCTACAAGGGAGGTGGCCGAGGTGGAGGGGGGAACAGGCGAACCGAAAGCTCAGGTTCCCGTCTTGTTGGGATCTG